TCCATCCTTCCCACGTTCCCGACCACATTTCCTGTCTTCACAACGTCTGGCCCTCTGGCCAGATTGGCCGTACGGGGTAAGCCTAACCTTCTGATAACTCCTGTTAGGTAACTTGCAAGCCTTACACTGGCTTCTTGCGCTATCCTCAGAAGAAGTTGAATGCCCTCTGCTTTAATGCCTAACAGAAGGGCTCCTATCTCTGCTGCGCGGACCTGCCATGGACTGTTTATCCTTGCTGCAATGGTAACAAAGAAAAGAAAGAGACAGCGCTAAGTAACTTATATTAAAGTATTTTTGGTCATATGTTTGTGCCAACAATCTTTTTTTTATAGACACATCATTTTTCTTTTTTACCCTGGCTTTTTAAAATTATTTTATCTTTATTGGTTTTATATAAACCTTGAAAATACTTTAATACTTTAATATATTTACAAACACAATAGTTAAATTTCCATAACGCGTTTCGTCAAAGACTTTCTCAAATGGAATAAGTTATTCCATTTGAGAAAGTCTTTGACGAAACGCGTTATGGAAATTTAACTATTGTGCTTGTAAATATATTAAAGTATTTTTGGTCATATGTTTGTGCCAACAATCTTTTTTTTATAGACACATAATTTTTCTTTTTTACCCTGGCTTTTTAAAATTATTTTATCTTTATTGGTTTTATATAAACCTTGAAAATCCCTGGAAGTTTCCTGCACTTAAAGAAATCCTAGGTGGGGATCAATCCACCCAAGCTGTCATCACGGAGCAGTTGGTCTGCTCTTGTTTTGTAAGTACATTCTTTTATCATTTTATCAATATTGCTATACAGTGAGCACTATTGGCTGTTTCTTTTATTTCGAGAAATTGGACACCAATCACAGAGAGGAACCCATCTAAATCCTATAAGCGGGGATCAAACCGCTGTATGCGCCTTATTCCAGAGCTAGGACATTAGCTCTGATAAATGTGAGTTTTATACTATTATTTCTTCACATCCACATTAGAACCCTACGTACTGCACTATTGGTTGTCCTCCTCTCCCCTTTTTTATCTTTCATATAAGTGGATCCACTACAAAAGTAGAAGACGTCACCAGCAAAGACCATTTGTAAGGATAAAACAGTTGGACTTTTCCTTTCTTTTAAATTGGACTTTATTCTTACTTGTGTGCGCAGCCTTTTTTATTTGTTTTTATTTTATCCTTGCTGTGCCTGCTCCTATCCTAGGAATGATCCTGAGAAGTAGCCTGCCCTGGGACACCTTTCTTCCGGTTTCGTATTTTGGTTCGTTGAACGCAACGTGAGTACCAACATCGTGCGTCAGTGCGCTTCTATTTCTGGTTCGGCTTTTTTCATTATGCTTTAACCACATGTGTTTTTTTCAATACCTGGAGGAAACTTTATTGACAAAGTATCAAAATACAGATAAAACAATAATGGAGTCGGCAATCAAACAGTAAGTAAAGAAATTCTGCCACCCTATGCGTTTCGTCTATATGACTTCGTCAGGGGCGTATGGCAAATACCGTACAGTACTGGAGACAAACAGCATTTAAATATCCCGCTCAAAATACAGATAAAACTCATCAACCAATCACAAACAAGAGCATAATAGATACACCTGAAATCTAATTAAACATAGCAGAAACGGGAAAAAGAGTGCTATGTTTAATTAGATTTCAGGAGTATCTATTATGCTCTTGTTTGTGATTGGTTGATGAGTTTTATCTGTATTTTGAGCGGGATATTTAAATGCTGTTTGTCTCCAGTACTGTACGGTATTTGCCATACGCCCCTGACGAAGTCATATAGACGAAACGCATAGGGTGGCAGAATTTCTTTACTTACTGTTTGATTGCCGACTCCATTATTGTTTTGCCTTCAGTCTTGCTTGCACATGCACTTTCCTCTGGACTTTGAAGACGTCTTACGATCTGATGGGCTTTTTTACTTCTTTTATCTTGTAAGTGGAACCAATAAAGCAATTATTTTTTAACATACAGTTACACACTGTTTTGTTCTTCTGTCTTGTCTTAAAGTTTCTAAGTGGAACAAAGAAGAAGAAAGGCATTTGAACAAGATTCATTTATTCTGCTCATTTTATCCAACGTTTATGAGTGTATCTTAGTAATTTTAGATAGTTTATTTTGACTTATTATCTGTACTATTGTGGTCTCTCTCTTTGTTCTATATATTTTAGGTTGTGCATTTTTATATTTTGCCTAATACTGTAAGGCGTAGGCAGGTTTTTTTTAGTTTTTTTTTTATTGGGAGGGTGGCTAGGGGCTTGGAAATCTCTATTCACCTGAGGGGTTGACACAATTATTGGGGATGGACAATAGCATGTAAGCCCTTCACCTCTATATTTGTCATGTATTCATCCGCTTATAAAAATGTGGTTAATTGCATTTACTGACCACACGGGAAAAGTTGTGCCGAGTAGCAACCAAATCCACAGAAGGGTTAATGCTGAGCAGCAATTATGCAAATGGAAACCTGGTAACTGCTTTGGGGTCAAAGGCCGGATACAGCCTATCAGATCTAGAGGAGGGGTATTTAGGCCCAGTTCTGCTCAGCCTGCTCAGTGCCCTGTCGTGGTTTCCCTTGTGGTTGTCCGAGAGCCCGTTATTGATTCTGGTAATTCTGGTTATTTGACTTTGGCATTGTTTTTGACTTCCCTGTTTTCTGGCATCCCTGAGTCCTGGCTTTTCCTTATTGTTGTGTCTCTTTCTGGTCTGGGATTTGAAGAATCACACCAATATGATTAAAATAGATTTTATTGCACAGATCAATAGTATCATTATAGAATATTTACAAAAGTTAATAATGAATACATCAATGATTAATACTCAACATCAGGGTCAACACTTTGGGCTGGAAAGCCCTGGTCATCCTTGGCCAGGAGGATAAATTAATCAGTCAATTTCCTGCACAGCACATCTCCTCACATGATGATGCCCCCAAAAAATGGAATTGTATAAATAGGGGCTTACATAAATAATATATACAAGTTACATGCACATTTTATACATGTGAGAGTGCAGTTTACAAGACATCAACCCACTCTGGAGAGCTGGCCAGAAGACCAGAGTGTCCTGAGTCAAATGATAAGACACCCGCACTTTGTTTGTAAGATTCTGGAATTCTGGGCAGTGTGCTCAGAATATAGCAATACCATAGGATAATCTGTTTTTCTTTTAACTAAATAGCTTTAAAAAGCTAATTATCTCCAGGGGTCCTTTGTTCTTATCACACATGACACAATAAACTTAGGCATTCCAGAGGAAAGGCGAGTACCAAACCCCTCACCAAATTAATAAACAGAACTGCATGTTGAATTGCCCTGTTTCTCTGCATTTTTCTTAGGGCATACAATGCAGCTGAGAATGTAAATAATAAATATACCACGATAGCATTACAATGGCCATTTTGTCACATTATCCTATTCAGGGAGGATATGTATTGTATTTATTGTATATATGTTACAATAGCAATACAATTTTTCTACCATTTAGATCAGCATCCTGTTGGGTTCCATAAATACTTCTAGCATGGTTGTTTATCAGGTTTCCAGAGGTAATTCTCAAGTCAGTCTCCAAGGCTAGAAGTTACCTTTTCTTCACAATTATACCTGAATTAGTGTTCAGTGACTTCAGTGTTCAGACAGAGAAATGTAATGCAAAAAAATACAAACATTTAAAGTCCTGAAGTGACATTAATTACTATACTACTATACTTCATCTGAATGAATGACCAATCCAGTTTGGCTCTTCCTATCAGGAGTGAGGGATAGAGAATTGTGTATAACCATCTATAAAGATTTTCTCTGAGATAACAGAACTTAGCCTGCACTAAGGTAACCTGTGAGCAGAACTACTGAATCAGTCAATTAATTACAATATTAATTACAATATAATTATTATATAATTTTGTAAAACAAACACGTGATGCACATCCTAGATATGTTTTTTTTCTTTTAATTCTTTATTTTATTCATGCATAGGTTAGGTATACAAGTTTGCACTGCCACAACAGCAGGTGTGCACATAACATCAAGCAGAGTATAACAATTGTGTGACATGCGGGACAATGCACTTTTTATATTATTGATGACAGGTCTGGTTACTAGAAAAGCCTATATGACTCAGCGGTCAGTAGCATTATATGCGGCTAATCCTGTAACCCGCAAGTGTAACATGCTTTGGGGACATATTCATGTCATGCTTCTTTGTAGGGTTTCATTGCGTTAATATCTGTCACAGTGACCTCCCGCACTTACTTAAACAGTATACGGTTACACTCGTTGCACATACTAAACATTATACATTTAACTTGTCGCACATACTAAACATTATGCGTTTAAACTTGTTGAATCCTGTTGCTTATATTAAGTGGGGCCACTGCACAGTCTGAAGCGTTATACTAGGGTGCGTAGTTAGTAAAATTATATAGAAAACAGACATGCGAACAGACGCTTTTATAAAACAATAGCTTAGCTCCTAGACAAGTTTTAATCATATGATCTGAATTCTACAATATTGTTTACATCTTGGATATGTTATAAGTTCCCATGAGTAGTTCAGACAGAGAAATTAAATGCAAAAAAAATCAATCATGTAGAATGTACTATACCCTAAAGTGACAGCCATTACTATGCTAGTATACTTCATCGGAGTGAATGACCAATCCAATTGGCTCTTCCTACCAGAAGTAGCTGAGTACAGAATTGTGTATAACCATCTAAAAAATATTTTCTTGGAGATAACAGAACTTGCCTGCACTAAGGTAACTTGTGAGCACAACTCTTATCAATACATCAGTAAATTAATTATAATATAATTTTGTTTAAAAAAAAAAAACACTTGATGCACATCCTAGATAGGTGTTAATCATATGATCAGAATGATACGATATTGTTTGCATATTGGATATGTTTGAGGTTCCCATGAGTAGTAACTATTTATAAGGGATCATTTCACCAGGTAGAGTAGTGGAGCTGATTACACCATCACCATGAGTTCCACCAGCTACAAGCATTACCATGATAAGAATTACCCGGCAAAAAGATTTGTTGAAATTTACTTTTGTGATGATAGAAACCCATTAATAGAGGAAAGCATGGAGTTTCCACTGGAACAAATACACAAAGACATTGATTCAGGTCTGTATAAAATGTACTAGGTATTAAAATGTCTATGAGCTCTCATTTTGTGACTTTATTCTATGGAATGAAATATGCAATAAAAATGTATATTTTTCTCTTCTATCAACTGCTTTCAGAATGGCTTTAATCAAATTAATGAAGTGCAAGTATAGTATAATTATGAATACACCCACAGTAGTGAGTACTGACTACTTAATTTATTAATTAACATTCAGATTTCCTAATTCAGTACAGAATAATATTTTCTGTGTGGAGGGACAGTGAGGTTGTAAAAGACAGATGTATGTGGAGGGTTAGATTTATGGACACCTGAGACAAGAACGTTTACTATGAAAGACTACAAGGGAAATCCATCTGGGGTTAAAAATTTTACGGACGTATCTAAATTCCAGAGAAGTGACAGCTACCTATTAATGCAGATCCCTGTAAGAACAGGTTAATTATCACCGTTTCAGTCATATAACAATATCTGAGTTGCAAGAAGCATTGTATAGAATGGACATATTAGCCCTTGCCTTTTATCATCTTCAGGACTCGTGAAGGGAGAAACATTGATTGATTTCAGTATGGGAGCCACAGCAACCCATCTTATACCAGTCTGCAGTGGATTCAAAGATATATACGTGGTAGAAGTTAATAAGGTCAACATTGATGAATTTGAGAAATGGCGTCAAAGCAAAGAAGACGCTGTTCACTTCTCATATGGAGCGAAGGTTCATCATAAGTTAGAAGGTGGCAGGTAATGTATGATTTAGACAATATTTTATTATTGTTATATTAAGTCATTCTGTTAAAAACAGTGAGATCTATTTACAGCATCAAATTATATCTGCAGAACCCGGATATCTTGTCTCTTGCTTGGATATAAAACCACCAATGATTATGGAACTATAAAACTACAGCTATTAAAAAATGTCTATGTTTAATTTTATTTAATAAATGGTTTAGATCGATTTAATTACAACTGTTAAAGGCTTATCAGAAGCTAAAATATATTTGAATACTGAACCAACAGCCTATATTTTACATGTTGCCTATAGACTTTGATGATTTAATTTTAATGGTCACATAGTGATCATTAAATGGGATTATCAGATCTGACAGCTAAAAGCTGTTGATAAATGCCTTTTTTGACTATCTGCTTGCTGGCAGTACTAGCGGCCAGTGGGTAGAGAGTTAAAAAAAATATTGGAGACCCCTACATTAATACATGGGAGGTTTTACACTTTTCGCAACATCACAGTATATATGACTGCTGACTCCTTTGATCCCCGAATCCCATTACCCTTCCATTCCCAATATGTAACGCAACACTATCCTTACCTTTTTGTGACATTTTACCCCACTCCCTCTAGCATGTAAGCTCATTGAGCAGGGCCCTCAACCCCTCTGTTCCTGTGTGTCCAACTTGTCTGGTTACAACTACATGTCTGTTCGTCCACCCATTGTAATGCGCTGCGGAATTTGACGGCGCTCTATAAATATCATAATAATAATAATAATAATAACACCATGTTAAGTGGGCAAGGGCAACGATCACAGCTTTATATAAACCAGCACAACCAAATACTGTCAGCTGCTGGTTTTACCCAGCAGATAGGTACAATTTAAATTTCTTCCAGAGTCTCTTCAGCCTGTGCTTCGTCATCAACTAAATTAAGGCTGCAACTCCCCAAGCCCGTCCGGGCATTATTCATTTTCCAAACTTGCTGGCGCAGGAAACCTGCAGCTGTGACAAAATTAAAAACAACGAAAACACAACACAAAACAACAATTCCAGAACAGAACCATTGGAGAGGGTGGGTGGGGAAAGACACTGCCACGCTCCCTCAGCATTGTTCACCAGTAGTTTGGTAAGTTTTCCCAGAATTCACTGCTTTTCAACTGTAAAACCAACTGTACCCTTTTGGTTGCTATGCCAACCCCTCAGGGCAGCAGTCATTCTCCCCCCTTCCTAACACTCTACTGTATGAATCCTAACAGGACAGTATAAGAACGTATTAACGGTCCTTAGAATGGCCAGGCTTAGCATGTACCAGAGAGATAGGAATAGCCGTAAACAAGCCAAGGTCAGAGGGAGCCAAAAATCAAATAAGCAAGAGACAAAGCCAATTTAAGGTTGTCAGAGGTCTGAATAGTCAAGGGATAGCCAGGTCAAATAACAGAAAGTCAAAGTACACAAGAACCAAATAGGAACCAGAACAGGGAACATTCTAACAGTGAAATTTAGGTTTTATAGCCTTTGTGAAATTGACTCCATTTCCATCAACTCTGTGCACCCAAAACCATACGTGAGAATTAGATTCAAGGAGACAGCTCATATTTGCATCTAATTTTGATGCATGAATACGGCATCATCAATTAGTATTGTTGCGCAGCATCCAACTCCCCAATTGATGCCAGAATTGTTCAGGATCAATAATAGGACTCCAATATGACACAGAGGTTCACTAAGACTGCATGAGTGGGCAGGTACCATTGCACACATGCCGCCACTCAACATGCCGCAAGTGGAGTCATGTTCACTAAACAACAAGCAGCTAATGACTGCTTGCTATAATAACTAGCAACTGGGAAGCTATTAATATTGTAGGGCGTAGGCAGGGTTTTTCTTTTTTATTGGGATGGTGACTAGGGGTTTGGAAATCTCTATCGAGCTGGCAGGGACCTTGCCACAATTATTGATGGAGTGACAAGGGCATGTTAGCTCTCCACCTCTATATTTAGTTAATAGTCACACTAGCCACAAATGGGTCAGAGACATAAGGTCACCCTACGTTCCCCCTCACATATTATTTGATAGCTAGCTATGGATAGGAACATGGGGGGATGACATGTCCCCATTGCTGTATTATTTTAATTATGGACCCATTGTAAGAGCACCAGTGCCCAATCTCACCTGGGGTGTATTAGTTGCTGGGTAGTAACAGCTGCCCGGGCATTTGTCTCATATGACAATTAGCTGTTTTGTAGACTTGCCATTAACTGTGGTGTGAGGGGGCTTTAGGGAGGTTTAAGACTTCCCTTATACTAATATTGACCCTCAGAAGCTATCATCGTATTTCTTTTTTAATGAATAGCAGGATTAATTATTACATCATATATAAAAACGTAGGGGATGATCTGCTAAATCAAAGTAAACAAAATCACATAGTATATAACTGTGTGTATCAGTGAACCACAGGTGTTATGACAAATGGCCACTTTCACAGATGTAAACAAGCCTTGAATAAGAATTCCTTCTCAGAGGTCAGCTTAATTCTTCCATCACATTTCTCCCATAGATGAATGAGCTCAGGATAAAATGAAAATAAAATTAAAGTAGACTATCCAGAGTATAAAAGGAAATGTAATAACTTCAGATTAAAAACAATCTGTGTCACCACTAGGCGTCCTACGCATTTCATCCAGTGGCAGGACTTCCTCAGGGACTTGTGTGGTGTATAACAGCAATAATCAAAATGAGCAAATACAATAAAAACCCTTTGCTTCCCCTCCCCCCGTCATTTATACACCCCTCCATAAGTTCATTATTGATGAAATTCCTCTCCGGTGAGCTCCTCCTGTGTAGGCGATCTCCATGATTGTGTGCAAATAATGAAATTTTGTCTTTCTTTTGTTTATATCTTTGATTTATACAGGCTTTGCAAGAATTACATGGATTGAAGCCATGAATGTTTAGTGTTGTACCCTTCTTTGGAATTTTTAGTGTGTAGCTTGGTGCTAGTATGTTTTTCAAATTTTTTGATTTTTTTTAAAATAATTGGTGTCTTTTTTGGAAGTACTTTGCATAAAATGGGGTCCTTACATAAGATTTTCCAATGTCTATTTAAAATCTTTTTTTATTTTCCAATGCCGTGAAAATCTATGATCTTTTTTGGAAGCTTTTTTGGGTTTGGGTGTCATTAGATCTTTTCTATTCTTTATTCCAATTTCCCTAATTTCTTTTTCAAGTAATGTTGGTTCATATTTTTTTATTATAAATTTGTTTGTCAGATGTTTATCCTGTTCCTTATAATCTGCATCCCTTGTGCAGTTTCTTCTGACTCGTGTTAACTGACCTTTTGGGATAGTTCCAACCATTTTTCGTGGTGGCAACTTTTTCGATGAATATAGCTGAATGTAAGTTATTAAATTTCCTTTTATACTCTGGATAGTCTACTTCAATTTTATTTTCATTTTTTCCTGAGCTCATTCATCTATGGGAGAAATGTGATGGAAGAATTAAGCTGACCTGTGAGAAGGAATTCTTATTCAAGGCTTGTTTACATCTGTGAAAGTGGCCATTTGTCATAACACCTGTGGTTCACTGATACACACAGTTAAATGCTATGTGATTTTGTTTACTTTGATTCAGCATATCATCCCCTACGTTTTTTTTATATATTGTACTGAAGACAAGAGGAGGTCTATGGGGATACCTGTGGATACTTTACCCTATTCAGGGAAGTTCCTCTCTACTAATATTTATCAAACACTTTTTTCACTGTGGTTTGTGCACACTTCTTGTCTTTTTTGTATTGTTAATTATTACACGCATATATATAATTTCAAAGCCCATTTATCTGCTTTTTGTCTTTTTCCAACAGCCTACCCATTTATCATGTTCAGCTGCTAGAATTTCATTTGGTATTAAATCTTGTCAACATTTGTTTGAAAAATTAGCAGAAAACAGTTGATATGTATTGAGGCCATTCTTTTTATTAAAAAAAAAAAAGTACAGATGATTACGGAACTATTGAAAGTCTATTAAATATTATCTTTTATCCAGTGTTGATGAGTACACTTGTTTTAAAGTAGGTAAACTAAAACATAGAATACATTATAGGTTTGATTTTACCTTAAGGGATAATTTCTGAGACAAGTTTATAAAAGCTAAGAAATCACCATCGAAACCATTGGACTGTCCCTGCCCATTGCTGCAATTTCAGAATTTCCCCAGAACTGCACTGCTTTTTGCCGAGAGCCAATATTTCATTAAACCTCCTCCAAGATATGAAAGACAAATCTACTATGCGTTTTGTAATGTCTGTGTTTTTCCCATTGCAGAGAAGCATGGCACTTGAAGGAAGACAAAATAAGACAAGCAATAAAAGGCGTAATACAATGGGATATTTCTAACGACGATCAGGTCCCTGTCGATTTACCCCAAGCAGACTGCGTTCTCAGTGTATATCTTCTGAATGTTATCAGCAAAGACAAAGAAGCCTTTCAGAGAAACATGAAAAAAATTACATCCCGACTTAAAATAGGGGGGAGCCTGTTACTAATTTTTGTCATAAATATGACATTTTATGAGGTTGATGATCACAAGTTCTTCGTTTTAAAAGTCGATGAAGATTTTATAAAACATTCTGTGATTAACGCTGGTTTTGTCCTTGAAAATGTGAATGTATTACCTAGACAAAAAAACACTAAACTGGTTGATCACGATGCCGTAATGTATGTAAGAGGCCGCAAGGAAAGGGAAGCTTAGCTATTTTATTCCAAAATGATGTGAGTGTTCAAATATGTGCCATCACATTTAATACTATAGTAGAAATCAAAATGACTTATATACATAAAATATTACTAGTGATTACAAGACAATAATAAAGAATTCCAGTATCTAAAGTAGTTGTGAGATCTCTGCAGTGGAGATGATTGTAACAAAAACTTAACTAATTTGTGAAATAACTATTTACATGAATAACTTATACCTGATACAACAGGTCTACCTTAGTCAGATTTCTGTCTAAAATAGGGCAAAAATCATCACCAACTATGTATCAAAATAATACCAATGGCGGGGGCGTGTCCCAGACTCGGACTGGAGTGGACGCATGTCCTGATGGCTCCACTTCTTGAGAGCTTCTTCTGAGCAATTAAGCTCTAAAGAAAAGCACTAAACTCCACAATATGTCACAACCCAAGGGGAAGAGAACCACGGAGAGGTCAGAAAAGGCAAACTTCTTTGCCTCCAGAGATGGATGCTGTCCAGGAGGTGGGAGGATCTGGGAGGGAGGGTCTGCTGGAGATTGGCTGGGATGTGTCAGCTGACCGGAGTTCGCAGCGAACCGTGGCGAACCGTTCGCGAAAAGTTCGCGAACGGTTCGCGACATCACTACTCACCAATACCACTCCACATCCCCACCAAATCTAGAGGGGAACCTATCCTTCTAAGTAGAGACGTCACATTTACCCTACACTCTCAAGACATTAACACCAATGACAGATATGACATTGTGACGTGTACAATAAATTACATGTTTTATACTCACCGAATACCAACCAACGGAACTTCTTACATAAATTATTCCAAAGATTGGCCAGCACACAGAGGGGCATTACAGTGCTCGGCGGGGACTTCAATCATGTCCTTGACCCCACAATGGATACCACCCTCTTCCAACACAGCTGAAGACATCGCCCTTTAAAAAGGCAGTGCAAGGCCATTCAAAAGCTCCTCCACGAAAATCACTTCTATGATACGTGGAGAATCACACACCCGGGGACAAGGCATACACACACTTCTCCACAGCCCATAACTCCTACCCTAGGATAGATGGCTTTCTCATCTCAGGTTCCAACTTAAAACCAAATAGTCTCATGCAACATAAAACAAATCAAATGGTCGAATCATGCACCAGAGCTGCTGCAGTTAAAAAATTTATATGATTTTAAACACCGAAGCACATGGAAAATCAACGATTCCCTGTTGCATGACGGGGGCTTTACACAGGAACTTAATGAGGATCTACATTCCTACTTCACATTCAATGACACAGGGGAGATAACCCCCACAACGATGTGGATAGCCCACAAGACCATGGTATGGGGGCTGTTGATACGGAGGGAAGCATATATTAAAAAGCTCATGCAAACGAAACTTAAGGAGTGTCAACAGGAGTTATATGACCTGAATACCCAAAACCAGATTACACCGACTATAGCGGCGAAACAACTTGTACTCCAAATGACCAGACTTATACACCAACAGGCCATAGACCAATTTGGTGGGCATATGTCAAAATTGAAACTGTACCACTACCTACAAAGTAACAAAGCAAGTAAGCTTTTGACACGTCGCCTAAAATCTAGACAAGCAAATCAAAATATATCCTATCTAGTCGACAGTAAGGGAACCAAGGTCACAACATCTAAAGTCGCTAGATTTTACTCCAGCTTCTATAACTTACAAGATGACAAACTCACCAGACAGCCAACAGACAGGGGTATTGAGGAATACTTAGATGGGGTTAGACTGCCAAGGCTTAGGCAGCAACAGCAAGAGGAACTCATCAAACCAATAGGGACTCAGGAACTGATAACCATAATCAAATTCCTACCGGTGGGGAAATCCCCTGGTCCAGATGGACTAAACAATTTATACTATAAAAAATGTAGTGCGACTCTTGCACCCTACCTAGTTAAGACATTCAACGAAGCAATTATCAATAAAACTCTGCCGAAAGAAATACTTCAAGACCATATCGTAATGCTCCTAAAACCAAACAATCTCCAACATTGCCACAGAATTTTAACCCAATATCACTCCTGAATATGGATGCAAAATTGTTCACCAAACTATACGCGGTACGACTGGGGTCCATACTACTACATGGCATTGTCTGCGGAAGGCATGGATTGGACAACACAAGAAAGGTCATAAACCTCCTACATAAGCTTCAGACACAGCTTTGGGGGGGCTGCTAGTCACCCTCGACTCAGAAAAAGCCTTTGACCGATTGCACTGGGGATTCCTAAAGGCAAGGTTTGGAATCCCAGACTGGGTTTTGTCAGTGATAGAGGCCTTATACAGCTCATCACCTGTATTGGATACCCCATAAAATGTGCCCCAAAACACCGGATATGCCCAATACCACGTCACTACTATTGAAAACATGGGATGCAGCCAGACCACACATAGGTTACACAAAAAAATGGGCATTAGCGACTCCATTGTATAGTCTTCACATTGTCAACCCCACCATTAGGTGCCCAGATAAAGTAATTTAACAGCGTGCCCATAGTGTCAAAGTGTTACGTACCCTTTGTATCCATGTGGCAATACCGGAGATAATTATCTTCTGAAGATCGAGGGGAGTGCCACTCGGTGGTCTTCTGCCATGATGCCTGGTTTGTGCGGCATGCCGGTGCACGCAGGCCACTACGGACCCACGCAATTATATGGCCCCACGTCCGTTCATGGCAAAGATGACATTGAAATGCGGGTGACGTCACGCAAAAGACGCACAGCATGTTTTTGGGTCAAGGGCTAGGTACAGCCAATCGGATCTGCAAGAGGGCTATTTAAACTCACTTATTCCTTAGCTCATTTCCCTGTCGTGGTTTCCCTTAGATGGTTATCCGAGAGTGTGTTCCTGATCGTGGTATTCTGGTTTTTGACTTTTGCTTCATTTTGACTTCCCTGATTTCTGGTATCTTTGACTTTTGGCTTCTTCTTATCACTATGTCTCGTTCTGTGTCCCTGACCTCGGCTAGATTTTTAACTATTTCCGGGTACGTTAAGTCCGGCCATTCTAATGTCTGGCTAGACGTTACCCTTAGTTCTAGGGTGTGATGTTCTGCATGCTGGATCAATATAATCCTGGCGCATTTCGGTGCAGAGACATGTGCACCTTTGTCAGGGTCAAAAGGCAAATAAGAACAAGCAAGGCAGCTGAAAGGTTAACAAAAACAAAAACAAAAAAACAACTGGGTTTATTCCCTGCATTTACACAATAGCCTAGCCTCTTCTCTTTTTGTTTAAGGTACAACAGCTAGGTGATCATAGCATTCTGGGAGGGCCACTGAAACACTCACCATCTTAATAGCAGAAAAGCATTCTTTTGAAAAGCTTGTCCATA